GCACAGGCAGGGTTCAGCTCTCTCCTCATACCTACTGTAGTTGCTTAGGTTTCGATGAGATGTGAACCTGACCCTTAGCTATATTTCTAAGGGCTGTGAAATATTTCCTCTGGCACTTGCTCAGCTCCTTTCTCCTTCAGCTTTTATGGTTGCAGGGACTTCCCTTTCACCTGAGTCATTCCAAATTGTGGGAAGGAAGCATGGTCTGGGTGAGAGGGTTTCTTCATCAAACCAGAAGAGACATCTGGGATAAACCAGTTTTAGACACAGAAGCCCTTCTCCATGTCTGAAATGAAACCCTGAGGTTGTTACTCTGCCTTTTGGAAGAGCTGGTGGGAGCACGGCTTTGGAGAGAGGCCCCTGGGCATCCTCATACCAAGCAGCTCCCCCTGACCTGCACACCAGTGGGCTTACAGTGGACCCTTTAAATGAACAACCTGCTTCTTGCCACTTGAGACCCCAGGGTTTGTATAATAGTACAAAGGCAGTGTATTGGGGAAGGTGGCTTCACCCATTTGCGGTAGTGTTTGAAGTTGTGTGATGGAGTGGTTTCAAATGGTACAGAGAACAGGTGGGAACGCCTGCGTGTGGTTTGTGCCAGCATAAAATAGAATAAACTAGTTTCCACTTGCCATGTCCCTCTAAAATACAATGGTAAACCACATAATTCATACTTCGTTCTCTGCAGAGAAAACAAAAATGTGTTCAGTAAGGGTTTTTTTTAGACTCCTGAGTCTTTATCAAAATTGCATTTATTGTAATACATGTTAAATTGGCAAATACTAATTTCAGCTGAATTTTTCCATTGCCTGCTCAGAAATAATCTTTTATTCTTACCGTGTGGAAAAAGGTATTACAGGTTTGGATTTGTTATCATGTTTCCTTTCTTCCTGGCTATTGAGGAGTTTTGCTTTTGGTCTTCTGTGGCTAAGGGAGGAGTGCTTTGCAGCTGAGTGCCTGTCTTCCCACAGTACTGCCTCATGGACCAGGAGAAGCCACACGTGAAGGGGACCACATCCACCAGCTGTAAGCAGATGGTCAAGCCCTGTGGTGGCTGCAGTGGGAGATGATGGGCACACTTGGGCCAGTGCTGGGCGATGGTGATGCTCTTGCTGAGTTCCAGGAGCTCGTGTTTTGATTTCACTGGCGAGATATTTACAGGGGGATTCTGACCGACTTAAATGGCAGGTGAAGGGAACAAGCTGATGTAGGTGTTTATGGTGGTGTTTTCTCAGGGTGACAAAGGGCAGTTACGGAATTGCAGGTGGAAGTTGGCTGCTTTTCTGTGGAAGAAAAGCATTTGCGGGGTCTGGTTGCTCAGTGTCACCCCAGCTCTGAATAGAGTTTTAATAGACTGTTAAAATCCCTACAGTGTTGCCTTTTAATGTGTTATCTTCCATACTGACCTGTGCATTTCAGCTTCCTACCTCCCTCTTCCCCAGCAGACTCCCAGCCTAGTCTAGCCAGCTGGTGGGACATCAGGTATCTCCTCTTCTAGAAAACATTAGCTGAACCACAACTTTTTGCAAACCTCAATTCCCGCAGCCCCTTGCGATGTTTGGTTTGTTTGGTCTGTGGGGTTGGTTTTTTTTTTTTAGTTTGTTGTTTTTTGGGGATTTTTTTTAATTAAAAGAAAAAAGAGAAAAAAAGAAAAAGAAAAGCATGTACAATGGAGCCAGGGGTTAGCCAGGCAGCCCCGACATAAAGCAGGGATAGCTGCAGTTGAACTTTGGAGCTGTTGGAAGCCAAGGGGAGCATTCAGGGCATGGCTTGCTGTTATCTCAGCAGTACTATTGGTAAAAGGCTCCACTTAACGCACCATAAATCCCAGCCTGTTGACAAAGCTGGTAAATTGCAGTTTAACCCCAACTTCTCCTTCTGACAAGCAGGAAGGGACATGCCATCAGCACTTCCACGTGGGAGGCTTTGAACTTGTGTTGCTCCCGGACAACCAGCAGCTCTGTCCATCATGCTGGGAAACAACAATCGCTGTCCTGGTGTCACAGCTTGTCTACAAAATGTGGAAATGTCTTAGAATACATGGAAGTATTTTACAATAGCTGGGCTATGAGGCTTGTGACAAGCACTTAGGGAACCAGCCTGATTTTTACAGAAAGCTTCCATGTGAGGTATGTTGATTAATCCAGAAATGAAAACCCAAATGTATCCCTAAGAAGGAGCAGGGAGCACACCTGCTGCAGATGGAGTAGAGGATTAGAAGCAACGGTACCATCACAGCCTGCTGCCTCCTTATCTGGGCTAAATGGGAGTGGAGGAGGATAGTCAGGGCTGGGGTTCCCCCCACATCACAGTGCCATGGCATAGGGTGCCGACCCGCAGGGAGCCACCCTGTGAGGCAGATGGGTCTAGCTGTTACTGAACAAAACCAGTTGTTGCTGGCTTTGGCTGAGAGCATCCTGGTTTGCCCCCTGCATCCACCAGCTGCCTCCTTATCTGGGCTAAATGGGAGTGGAGGAGGATAGTCAGGGCTGGGGTTCCCCCCACATCACAGTGCCATGGCATAGGGTGCCGACCCGCAGGGAGCCACCCTGTGAGGCAGATGGGTCTAGCTGTTACTGAACAAAACCAGTTGTTGCTGGCTTTGGCTGAGAGCATCCTGGTTTGCCCCCTGCATCCACCAGCTGCGGCAGGGGCTGTTCTGGGCACCTCTGTCCCTTTCACCTCAACGCTGCCCACCCGCTGTTGCCCAAGCCTGGTTATGAAAGCAAGCAGATCTGCACAACCCCTTCATCTGAAACCTTTTCCTCAAGGAAAGGGAAAAGCTGAGAGTGAAGGACCCTGAAGTGCTCTTCATTTAGTTTAGTCTGGAATCCTGGAAGTATGCTTTTCCTTTAGGGAAAATTGATGGGAAAATGTCTATCTCAATGAACACACATCATTAGAGATGTTGTCCCCCAGACAATAACCTCATGTACACAGAGTTAAGGGAGTAAGAACATATTTGTCTTTTTTAAAAGACAGATAGCAGTGTGTGATTTGATTTGGGGGGGGAGGGGGAAATAAAATTGTGCAATGTCTATAACCATACTGAAAGGGCACAGCTCCTGACCTCCCCTTCTTGTTACCTCCCATCACTACACTTGCTCACTGCTGGCTGCCAATAAGAGCCTCCAAGAAAGAGAAACTTTAGTTTCGTCTTCCCCAGAGGCTCTCTGTGCAGGGCCCGGACAGCAAGGAAGAAGGCACTGGCAGAGGCTGCTCACGAGAAGGTTGGTTCTCTTAAAGCATGGGAATAGTAAAAACCTGATAGCCTGGGAAGAGTGGGATGATGGTGCAAAAAGGTTTTGTGGTTTTGGTTGTTGTGGTTTGGGGTTTTTTCTATTCTTTTTTTTTTATTTTTTTTTTCTTCTGCCCAGCACATTATTTAAAGCCAACTATATGGCAAATCCTGCTTGGGAAAGGAGGTTGGATTAAAGAAAGCTAGGCACAAAAGATGGATTACAGAGAGATTATTTCTACTGTGCTTCTTCCTGCTTCTAGAAATGTGTAACTGCATTAAAGGAATCTGTTGGTGCTTTGCTCTCTGTTTAAATTGGATTTTTTCTTGTCTACATGGACGCTTAAGATGAAATTCCTCTTAGCAAGGCTGCTTTGGTGTATGTGTTTCCTGGTGGGCTCTGAGTATGTGCTGGATGTGGCTGCTGTCCTGTCAGAAGCTTGGATGTCAGTCGCTTTTATATGTTGCTGCCTCCTCTCCCTGTGTATTTGCTGTCCTTTTCAGTGAGATGTGCTACTGGTGACAAGAGCAGCTTAATGTTGTGATCCTTCATTAATGTTTGCAACTATGAGAGAAGGAAGGATGTGAATAATACTCAGGATACATTGTACTGTGCATTTCTCAAGGTGTAGAAAGTAGATTTACCATGTGTTGGTGGCACTACTGTGGGTTGGCAGAGCGAAGCGCTCAGAGGCAATGCCTGCTGGCGGTTTCCTTCTGGACACACACACGATACACTGTCTCTGCCTGCATCCACACCGTGCTCACAGGCTGGTGTGTGCTGCCTGGTGAAGCCAGGAGTGGGATTTCTGGAGGAGTGTGCATTTCCCCAAAGGGTGGAGAGGGAAGGAGACCCCCTTTCCCAGCACTACTCACTCAATTTCAGTTTCTGTTCTGGCTTCTGAGCTCAGGAGCTGGTGGGGAGGAGCCAGACCACCCAGCAGTGGTTCTGCTTTTGCCAAGAAAGTCTCAGCAAATGTGAGCAGGCAGGGGTCTGGGGTTTTCCTTCCTCTTTCTTTTATTAGTGCATAACTAGAAGAACTTGGCCTCAGGGCAAAACTTGCTTGTAATTGCTATCTGTGAATGTTTTGTGTTGTCTTTTCCACGGCTGGGAGAACAGGAGCACAGAGCTTTTTGGTTTGATTTTTTCCTTAGACCTCAGGCTTATTGGTTTTCAGGGTTTACTTGTTTCCTTAACCACAGGAAGGCAAGAACTGGGGTTCAGACTTGGAACATAGCACTGAGTTTCTGCCTTTCTGGCTCTCTACCACAAGAAACCAGAGATACTCCATTTCTACAATATTTCTTCTGTGTGGAGCCTGGCTTCGTTATGAGGAAGTGAGAGAACATGGCTGCTTCTTGCATGATTTCTATTCATTCCACAACAGTCTTGTGCAGAATATGCCAAGTTCAACGGTCAAAATGCCTGAGTCACTGGCTTTAGCCTAGGTTCACTGCCCAGCCCTGCTTGGCACTAGGGAAATCTATGTATCTATGCGCAAGCGAAGCCTTTCTGGGGAATGGATGTTGCTGTTTTGAAGGCTGGATAAAACGGCAGAAAATGCAAAAACCTCGAGAAGATGTAAATGCGGCTAAGACAGGGTTACGCTTCACCACCCCCAGGGGCAGCAGGGGAGCTGACAGAAGGCTGCCTGCTGATGGGCAATGGCGGCCAGCTTGGTTGGGGGACAAAACTGAGTGCAATTGTTTTACCAACTGTCCCATTCCCCCCACCCCGTCTCTTTCAGAAGAGCAACTAGGAATGGCTGTCCCATCCATTGTGAGGATCCAGCCGCAGTATGGCATGGCCGTGCCCGCTGCCTCGAGAAACATGTGGCAGACAGGGCTGATGGACTGCTGCTCGGACTGCGGCGTGTGTGAGTGGTCCCATCTCTCAGCCATCAGCACTGAAGTGCTGTGGTTGGTCCCATGCCCTCTTGGGATGCGTTTGTCGCCCCTGCCACTCGGGTCGGTGGTGTGACAGCTACAGTTGTGCAGCCTGGTCTTCTCAGTTCCTCTCCCGATGTCAGTGGTGCTGGGTGGGCAGGCAGAGCTTCACCTGCTGCTGTGTTTCTCTCCCTACCAGTCTGCTGCGGGTTATTCTGCTTCCCCTGCCTCGGGTGCCAAGTGGCTGGGGACATGAACGAGTGCTGCCTGTGTGGGACCAGCGTGGCCATGAGGACCCTCTACCGCACCAGATACAACATCCCGGTCAGTGGTTAACCTGCCCCTCACCATGCTGTGGGGATGGAAGATGAGGTGTACCTAAGACCCTTCTCTCTCTCTGCACGAGGGACAAGCATGGGGTAGCAGTGCTCTCCACTCACCCTTTTTCCTCCCACTTCTTTATCCTGCATGATGCCAGGAGCACAGGACAGAGGTTGAGACACCCTTGGGTGCATTGATCTGTGGGATGGTGTCCAGCAACACCCGCTAATCATTAATCAGACACAGCTCTTTCCCAGCACCCTTGACTGGGGGCACAAGTCCTGCCTTCAGCTGCTGCTGACCACAGCTGATGCTTCCCCTTGCTATCTCCAATCTTTGAAAGATGGGAAAGATTTGGGAGAATTGTGGGCAGACCAAAGAACAGAGTAAGTCAGTTGCACGTATAAACACCTGTAATCTGGTGCAGAAGAAAGGTGGACATTCATTTAAAGTACAAAAATGAAATGGTTTCTTCCCAACCAGGGGTTCGTGCCATCCCCAGACAAACCATGCTGGCCCAAAAGTAGTTTACCCCAAAACATCTCTTTCTGTGTGAGTTTTCCCTCCCAGTTTTAAAACTTGTAAGACAAAAGTAGCTATCTGCAGCCTGCAGAAAGGGCTCCTTCCTTCCTTTCTGCTATGTGTGGGCTCAGCAGCCCTGGTTTTTAATGTCTGCTACTCAGGACACTGCAGCCAGCCAGGAAAAAATGAGCACACAACCTGGAGTGTGTTTAAACTCATCTTTGCTGAAACGTGGCTTTTAGGAAGCCTCCACCCCTAACCAATTTCTTCCTAACAGGGGTCCATTTGCTCTGACTTCTGTGTCAGTATGTGGTGCCTCATGTGCTCCGTCTGCCAAATTAAGAGAGACATCAATCGGAGGAAGGAGCTGGGCATATTCTGGTAAGCTGGGTGTGCTGGTGCTGATTTATAGAGCCACTGCCTCACACAGCCATGCGGCTTCGTGGAGTCTCTCCTGCCAACGCCTGACATGTAACACAGGCCCTTAGCACAAAGTTGCTGGGAAACTTGTGCAGGGTGGGGTGGGGAGGTCTGAAGACATACACACAGTGTGGTGAGACATGCCCTGCTCCCTGATCCTCCTCTCTCATCCCATCGCAGATGCTGCCATCCTCTCTGCGTGCTGTAGAGCTGCTGCGGGCGAGAGTCGCCACAGCCGTGGCTGTTGGGAAATGCACCACAGAGGGTTTGCCTTGACTGTGGTTGATTTCCCTTTCCCCAGGTAACAGCAGCAATAAACAGCAGTTTGTCTTCCTACCTGTGTGTGTGTCACTCTTGCGCCACCTGAGAGCACCCATCCTTCTCCTGCTCTGCCGATCTTGGCAGCCCCTGGTGCAGCTGAGACTTCCCTGCGCCTGCTGCAGAGACAGATTTTCACTAGTATTTTGTTAATGCCTCCGCTTTTAGAAAGGATGTTCAATGCATAGGAGGAGCCTGTGTTGCTCATCCACGCTGTAAAATTTTTCAAAGTGACTTCTGTCCCAGGGCAGAGCCGGGACTTCTGGCAGATGAGTGATGGCTGCGGGCCACTGA